ATGAAAATTGGAAAACAGGAATCTATAAGCTTATCCAGGCAAAAAGCTACCTACGTACCGAATTTTAAGCAAATCGGACTATAAATACGATTTCTTCGAACAGATCGGTCCCTGGTCCACTTCTCAGACAAAATGGATCATATATGCTAATATATGGTAAAAAGCTACCTACGTACCGAATTTTAAGCAAATCGGACCGTAAATACGATTTTTTCGAATAGATCAGTCCCTGGTCCACTTCTCGGAAAAAATGGGTCATATATGCTAATATATGCTAAAAAGCTACTTACGTACTAAATTTTAAGCACATCGGACTATAATAAGATTTTTTCGAATAGACTGGTCCCTGCTCCACCTACCCGAAAAAAAGTAAAATTTTTTTAGCCTAAAACATGGTGGTTGCCGAAAGCTATTGGTATACAAAATTTCATGAAAATCGGACCAGCCGTTCGCGAGATTACCTGTTACAAAAAAAAGGGACTTCTCTTTATATAATTAAGTATAGATGGTATCAAATTTCGATTATTTTAGTTTTGCGTGTTGTCAAACAGCAGAAATCTGCACAATATGCAAATGTGACTTAAAGAAATGTAAACAAAAGAAAGTGAATTTATGTAGGTGTACTTCGTTTTAACATTTTGTCACATATGTATGTATGAAGAAGTTATTGGCATACAACGTATGTATGTAGGTTAATTGCCAAGATAATCTTGTTGATCTAACACATGTAAATTACAAAAAAAAAAACAGTAGAAGCTTGGGTTGGGAAGAACACACCCTCAATAAGTAATTTGCATACCGAAACTAACATATGTATGGGTATATATGTACATATTTATGTATGTATTCACAAAACAAAGAGATAACCTAGAAAACTGAAACATTGTCTCTAGGAAAAGCTCTAGACAATGGGATAAGACAGACGAAAAAATCATTAAAAATGACCGAAGAGATTTCCTTTGATATTATGTCGTCGGCCGAGTGAAAGATCGCCCTATCTCAGCAAATGGTTGAAGAACGCCCTATTTCAGAATTTGTTTCAATAACGCCATATCTCAACATATTTTCAATATAATTTCAGTTGAGTTTACGCAGTCTTTAACCAAATTCTGAGATAATGCATCCTTCAACCACTTGCTGAGATAGGGCGATCTTCCACTCAGCCGACGATGCGAATATTAACATTGATTTTAAAAGGAAGAACATCTTTTTAAAATAAGAGGAAAAAAGTTAAAATAAATTTTTTACTGGAAAAGATTTGAACCACTTTTACAACATTTTCTGATGGAGAAAATAATTTTAATTTTACTTGACAGAAACTATTCTTAAAATTGTAGAATTATTTTGGAATGCAATGAGAAGAATTTCTTTCCAGTTTTTATTTTTAACGCCAGCCTCCGTAACTGAATAGATTGAGTTGCGAGTTGACATTCAGTAAGTCCCAGGTTGATGCTAAGTCAGCGCAGTTCTTAAGTTGTTATCTTTTGTCGAAAAATTCATATAAAATATTCTTCTATCAAAATTTCTTCAATCAGTTTGCAGTTCTCAAGAAAAAAAATGCTAGATTATTTATTTCTTCAAGAAAAGCAAAATGGTTTTTCAACCAACAGAAATAATGAAAAATATACCTTGTGATTTTTCTTTAGAGCTGCAAATTAGTAATTAGGCAACCTAACAAAACCCAAAATAATCTTTTGTTGATTTTATTGCTAAAATTTCCCTTCCCTATATAAGAAGAATGTTTTATTCAAGAAAAATCTGGTAGTTTTTTCTCTGTGTAAATTCCTTTTGTAAGTGCCAGAGTTAGAGTTGAGCGTAAGAGTTTCACTTATGTATTTTTTAATTTTTTAAGACGTATTTACGTTCTTTGAACATTGCTTCAAAAGCATACAAATATTCTGCGAATTAACAGCGGATTTAATGGTGTTTCGAATTAATTTCGGATTCAGTGATACCAATTATCGTAACGCCTACGATGGACTCAAATATATATGTATGCAGTCATAGCAGCCTTCAACCAAATTTAATCAATCCATATTGGCTCATAAATTATTCAGATCTCCCATTTTACATTATAAAATGCTATAGAAAATTGTTCTCATTATCAGTTGCGATCCCGTACACTGAGAGAAGAAAAAATTTAGAATCAAAAAAAGTGCTAAATGAAAAAGAAATACGCATATGGCTGAGCACCAACCGTTTTGCACTTCACGCGTTTTCATAATCCTCCCGAGTTCTCCCTCTTTTGCAAATATATTCTAAATTGTCATACATTGTATCATATACATATGGGCATTTCCCAAAAAAGGTAAACCGAAAATGCAAGTAAATGAATTCAAACGGCTTTATAACTTGAAATTTCGTATTCAGATGGCGAAAAAGGGTTTTGGAAACGCGAAACGGTGGAGACAAGAACTGAAACAATTAAATAAAAAATTAAATTTAGTATGTGTTACTAAATTTGTATGGAGGAAATATCTGTCACGTCCGATATACATATCACGCCCGTTACCAGATTTTAATTCAACATTAAGTCAACAACGAATTGCTTCTGATTAGAAGGGAATTGGGTTTAACGGTCCATAATTTGACTTTATTTGAAGAATGTTTAATAAAGGAAAACCTTACAGTATTGGCTGAGTTTTACTTATTTTTACATGTACTCTGAAATCACTATTGTTTTCCGTTTGTTCTGTTTTCTGATTTTCTCGACGTCAGTGTTGCAAGCGCACCTAATTCTTTTGTCAACCAAAGGACGGCTTAACAGCTACACAACGGCAAATTTTTTTTACAAGTGACTTCAGTTTTCGTATGATTTATTTAACTCTAAAGTCGTACGAATGTCGCGTACGTAACCCAGGATATGCCCATATGTTATTTTAGATTTAATCAACAAATTGTAAGCGCTACAAAATAATTGTAAAATTGTTGTGTTAGGATAAAGCAAAAAAAGAAATGAAAAAATGTAAATGTGATTTGAAATGTTGAGTTTGAATCAACATCACAGCACGCGTGCGTGCTATGAAAGTATAATTTTTAAATAAGAACATTTTAAAACGATAATCAATTAAAAAGCATATATTTTTAATATGCGTTATTTCAATCAGTGAATTCATAAATTTTTTTTTTAATATTTCAACGCGTTTTTTTCTCTCAGTGTACGATTCCGAAATGACCATTTTTACTCAAACGTGCAAGATTTTAACGAAAAACTAGTAAAATAAAACGCTGTTGAGAGAGCACCTGACGCACTCTCCTTGTCAGAAGTTATTAATTTTAGTCAGGAGATTTTTTGCAAAATGCGCTTTGCTCAAGCATGTTGGAAAGAATGAATTTAAATAATTTTTGTAAGTGGATTCCAATGAATTTGTAAGTATTTTTGGTTATTTACATGTGTGAGCTGAGTGGGTTTACATAAAAAATAAGTTACCTTTTTTACCAGAAAGCAATCCCGTATGTTTTAGTGTAACTCCCCCGCTCTGAGTGATGTTTGTTTGAATTATAGGTTTAATAGATTCAGCCCGAGTTAGAAAGAATCAGACCTATTACACCATTTTGGTAGGTTTTTGAATCAGCTCTTCATGGTAAAGAAAGTCTTTCAGTGGCAACACTAAGGGCCGGTTACTCAATGTCTGGTTAACACTAATCTCCGTTTAAACATCATTATCGACGTGTTCGACTCCATACATATAACATGGAGTCGGTTAATATCTCTACTTTGAATATATGTATGTAGATGTTGCCTAGTCGCATCTATTAGCCTATATGGAATATAAATAATACATTTGTATATTGACCGGTCTATCTCCGTTGTTGATGCCATTATTTCCGGCTCCGAGGAAGATACGACTTTCTGAATAGCACGCTTATATTATATATGCCCTCGTGTCAAAGAATACGACCACCACTTCATAAAATAATTACTTCAAAGCTGCGCATGTGAAATGGTTCTAAACCAGTGCCTAATCGTCTGGTTTTGCGCTAGCTTCAAACACTTTTGATTTTCTGTAGGGTGTTATGCGATTAAAAGTGAATATAATCCCTAATCATTAAAAATGTTAAATTTTGACACGGTTTTAAGATAATCTGAAACATTAATGCATTTACACGGGAAAAATATTTGAAATTTGATTGAAATTACAAAAAAGTTTACACATACATATGTATTTTTAATCGCTTTTGTAATGTCGAAATTAGATAAAAATAAGAAGAGTGTTATTGAAAATTCTAGTTCGCTTACAATTTATAATCAGTATGAAGAATAGGTGTTGTAAAAAAAACTAATTTAACGGTAGCGTAACAGCGTGGAGGTAAGAAGTCAGCTCAATATGTTGCGCCATCAAAGAGAAAGTAGCGCGATAATGTGGAGGAATCTTGTAAATTTTAATAGATACATATATTTTTTATACCTGATGCCAAATAAAATTTTTAATTGGTAAGAACAAAAGTTGCGGTGAGTTTGTTTTTCGATGACTCCAAATAAGTATGACAAACAGTCGCATTTTATTTTGGCTCGCCGCAAATAAGCAACCCAAAGCATCCGCATGCGAGTGTAGGAAAAATAGGCCATAATGAGCTTTTGTGGTGAAGTCTCGCAATAAACAATACAATAAATTTAATTGCAAGCTTGGCTCGCGTTTAAGGTGCCGGCAAATGAAATATCTACATACAATTAAATTTGAACAGGTAAAATTTTTCAGCTGTGAATATGTGTGTGGTTACTTTCATAAATTCTATTTCTATTCAAAAATAGGGCAGTCGTCAGTGAACAATCGTACACATTTTAGCCAATGGGCTGATGGAAGCGTCAGTTGGGCGAAAAAAAATAAAAATATAAAAATAAACTGAATCCATATAAACCTAAATCACCAGCTGGAGTGATGGCTCAGAACTATTTAAGCTTCGGTGTTGTCTAAAAGCGTCAGTGTTGTGTGAGAGCGCTTTGTGAATACGCGTAGAACACTGCTAAGAAAATATCCCATCGAGTATCGAGTATAAAAATGCCATCAAAAAGTTATGGTCTATTAGGCGCGCTAATCGTTATGCTAATCGTTGACTGGCCATGGCCAGTGCGAGTTGCGCGAGCGATGAGTATCTCCATGGAACGGTCAGACGGCAGCCAAGAGCTAATGAAGTTGAATGACACGGGCAGCTCGCTATTCCACTTGCCCACACAGCTGAATGAGTACGAAGTTTTGGAGGAACTTGGCCGCCTCACATTGGCCAGCATGAACCAGAGCGTTGATCCGTGCGAGGATTTTTACGAGTACGCTTGCGGCAACTGGAAGCAGGCCGACTTGGTGCCACAGCGCGCGCGAAATAATACATTTCTGAATGGCATACAGTACTCAGTAAACGAAATGATGGTCAAGTACTTGAAAAATGCAACCGACAAGGAGCTGAAGCTGAATAATGCGGAATCGAAAGCGAAGGCGTTTTTCGCATCCTGCGTGCGCATGAGCAAGGACATGTCCGTTGGTTATAGGCTACTTTTGGAAATGGAAGAATTCAGCTTGAATTGGACGGATTTGAAGCGGACAAATGAAACGCTTGATTGGATCAACATAAACTTCCTATCGCAATACGGAATGTACCCCCTGCTGCCACTGAAGGTACATTACGAAACTGAGAGTCGCATGTTCGACGTGCTATTGTCCACTTCGGGCAATGTGCTGGGTAACTCCGATGTAGTGGACCTTAAAAACCTGACAAGAGATTTTAAAATCGAGAACGAGAAAGAGCTTAAGCAATTTAATGACGAATTTGAACTCGTTCTAGAGTTCGAGAAGAACCTCACTATGCACTCAGGCAGGCGCAACGAAACCGAAGTACTCTCATTGGGTGAGTTTAAGTTAAAGCACAAAGAAGATGCTTTGAATTGGACACGCTACTTCGATATAGCATTCAATGGTAGTGCCAAGAATGATTGGACGGTACAGAATACCATCGCGGATGTAAATCCACTGGCGCATTTTCTGCATAAAACCGACTTGGCAACGCTGCGCACGTACTTGAAATGGCGCACAATAGTAAAGTTCCACTACATATGGAAGTTCGAGACGAGTGACAACTCAACGGAGAGCAGCTGCCGCGAACACACCGAGCAGTACTTCAATTACGCGCTACTACCTTGGTTTATAGATAATGTTTACGATGCCGATCGCCGTGCAGATATTCTACAGCTAGCGAAGCATATAAAAGAAACCTTCTACGACCTCCTGGGCAAGTACACTTGGCTAGACGATGAGACGCGTTCGCATGCGAAGACCAAGTTGCGCGCCATGGACATTACAGTTGGCTACTCTGACGAAATGCGGCATCGCGAGGTCATTAACAAAGTGTATGAAGACGTGGAAATTGGCGACAATTGGTACAAAAATCTGCAAATGGTTGAGAAGAATCGTGCCAGAGTGCGCATGCGTTCGGTGAATAGAGCAATCATACCGCCACTAATGTCGACGCGCGATGTGAACGCTTACTATGCAGATTTTCTCAATTTGGTCTTTATTGGCATTGGCATCTCGCAGGCGCCTTTCTATCACTTCAAGTATCCACCCTCCATCAAGTTCAGCGGCATTGGCAACATCATAGGCCATGAGATGGCGCACGGGTTCGACTCCTATTGCTATCAATACAACTACGATGGAAAAAAGCAGAATTGGTGGACGGAGGCATCTTTGCGCAACTTTAAAGAACGCTACCGCTGTATGGAGTCGCAGTATAATAAATTCATTTTCCATGGTGTTCTTACAAATGGTACATTGACTTCGGGTGACAACATTGCTGACAATGTGGGTACGCGCATCTCTTATCATGCTTACCTTAACAGTTATGGCAATCTCGATGGCGACAAGAAGCCTTTACCCGGATTGAATTTGACGAATAAACAACTGTACTTTCTGAAGTTTGCGCAAACCTGGTGCAGCGGCAAAGAAGATGCCTACAAGGTACGACGCATGAAGACCGATGTTCATGCTTACGAGGAGTTTCGTGTCATTGGAACGCTGCAAAATATGCCGGAGTTCAGTGAGGTGTATAATTGTAAATTGGGTTCAGATATGAATCCTCTGAAGAAATGTGTGATATGGTGAATGAAAAAAGAGAAAATAAAGATAAATTATATGCAAGACATAGGTTTATATATAAAACCACTAGAAGACAGTCTTAATTTGAATTGAATTGAATATTGGCAGGGCAGTATCAGATAAAAGGTCACGTAATATGAAAAAAGTCTTTAAGTTAAATTTCTGTCCGAAATCTAAATTTTCTAAATTATAGAGCGTAGATAATGGTGCGTAAAACTTAGCAGTTCTTGGTATGATATTGCCGAGCGTTAAGCTGATCAATTTTTGAAATGAATATAGAAATGATATTTATAGGGAAATTAAGAATGGATTCAAGCATTTCATGACCCAAAGTTGGGAAGACTTTTTCAAAATACTATCTGCTTGCTTTCGTGTGAAAGTGAATATTGTTGATTGTAAAAGAAGTAAAAAAACACATTTTGCCAAACTTCAAAGTATCGTTCAGTTCTATGAGAAACGTAACTCTTCTTCTTACCATTTCTCTGGCAGGCTGTAGGTGTGTTTTTTGTTAGTGTGTTGTTGTTTTTGGCTCCTTGTATTGGTGTATTTGGAAGAAATTATAATACAAATGGTAGAAACTGTTATAGACAAAGGAAAGTGCTAAGCTATAGTATTTTTTTTTTACAATTTTACATAGGATGCTTTACGATGCTCTAAAGTTTCTCCTGTTGGAATATCAAACCTTAAAATCAGTTTTTAACGCGGCCCAGTAAGATATCGCTTATTTCTGGCATTCAGGGAGCTCATGGTGAATCGAACCGTAAAATTATTTGGTTATACTGTGCAATAATTTCAGGATCATTGTCAGGGCCGGCATGATTCCAACTCGGGATGAAAGCCCTAGTAAACCTCCAACTCTTTTAAAACTCTCAGGTCAATTCTTTTTCGAAGGAGCATAAGTCAATTTTAGGGACTGCTTTGAAAAACAATATTTTCTTTGATATCTCAAAAACCATGTATTCTTTGTAAGGCGACCTTTCGCCGCCGCAAGTGTTTCGACGTTTCCTGTATATCGATAACAAAAAATCCATAACGTGATCCCTGATATCTTGCAGCTAAGTTGCGCTCTGCACCAAAATGACTATTTTCTTAAGTATTTTGGATGATACTGAATACCAAGTATTATTTATTTACAAATTTTCTCAGCACAAAGTACTAAGTATAAAAGTATTAAGTATTAAGGCTAAATCAGTATTTTCGAAACTATTTCGAGATTTTCGGAAATAAAATTTATCTGTAATTTGTTTCGCTGAACCGAGATGTGGTGAGATGTGGTGAGTAAAAGTGTGGTTAGTTAAGGTGAGGGGAGTTTAGGTGAGGTAGATCGAAGTTAAGGCGTTAATTTCTTAATTTTTTTTTCATAAACCATAAAGTATTTATCCATCTACTTAATATCTTAGTACTTTGGTGGGAGTATTTTGCAATTCTAAAGTACCATATATCCATATCATACAAATCCATATATCGCTGCGAATGGCGTATATGTGGTGGTTGTCGATAATATTCTCGCGAGTCTTTTCTAATACTTGGGATATTGTGAATAACTGGTTTATGGTAGACTTACCACACTGATAAGGCAATGAGATCTTCCGAAAAATTCGCAGAGCCTATTTACTTACAACAGTCAACCAGACTGACTAATTTCGGATACTTTTCGTGTCATAAATTCTGAGTTGAGAAATAATAACAAAAATGACGTAGATGCAAAAGTTTATTAATAATCAGAATCATAAAGAATATTTATATTTAAAACTCAGAAAAGCGTCATATTTCAGACTCTAATACAGAGCTGTTAAATTTCCAAATTCACTGTACGAGAAAGTACTTGTATTGTAGTTTGTATGTATATTGACGAAAGTGTTGAATTTTTCTAAGTTTTACACCAAATTTGGGATTCTGATGTATGTATAGTATGCAGTTTTTTTGTAGTATGGACAATATTTTTATAAAAAATTTGCAAATAAAATAACAAAGAAATCAGTCAAATTTTTTTAAATTTTTTTTTGCATTTTGTATTCTCCTTGCGCATTTATCTTATGTCACTGTACTGATTCTCATAATATGTATATATATATATATATATTAATCTGGATGCAAAGTATTATTCAAAAATTGAAATAAATCATATGTAAAATTGAAAACAAAAACCAAAAATAACCAAAAATAATTGAAAATAACCAAAAATAATTATATTAATCCCGTAATTAAAATAAATTAAAAATAATTGAAAATAGTCAAATAATTATATTAGTAATGCAAGATTAAAGTTGAATCCCACAAAACCAAACCAGAAAACAAGCAGTGATTCAAAGAAATGTTTTTGTTTTAAATGTTCGTAATGTTTTTGGAGTTAAATTTTTAGCTATTTTTTATAAAAATACCGTCAAAGCTTTAACCAAAACCATACAATTTACTCTAATGAAGTGCAAGTTTAAAACCGCTAAAATTCCCGTTGATTTTTGAGAATTTTTTTGGTGACGGATTTTTGCACCTTTTTCAATATAATCAAGAATTTCTTATTTAATAAAGTGTGGGAGACCGTTTGTAACAACATTTCAAAAAATCAACGTCAGTTTTTGAAAATTGCACTTTTTATATAAAAACTTCGTACACAAAATATTCTAAAGATTCAGATTAAGTTGAAATCTTGATAAAAATTTTTTTAATTTTGCTAAATTTTATATAACGTCCAAAACTGTTATTTATATGGTTTTGGTTAAAGCTTGGAGGTATTTTTATAGAAAAATAAGAGAAAAAAATTTTGTCCGAAAAACATTAGGAATATTTAAAAAAATTAACACGTGGTCACTTGTGTGAGTCACTGTAAATAATGATACAATAATAATAATAATAGATTGGCGCTTACACATACGTTAGTGCTTGGCCGAGCTTCTCCTCCGAATTGTGGCGTGCGCCTTGATGTTGTCACACAAAGGGGAGGGACCTACGGCGGTTGTATTTTTATGAGAAGCTATTTTTCATGGCAGAAATACACTCGGGGGTTTGCCATTGCCTGCCGTGGGGCGACCGTTGTTAAGAAATAACCTTTTTTTTATTGGTTGGTGATGTTGCTTTGACCAGGGATTGAACCCAGGCCCTGCGGAGTGTAAGCGCGCACAGCTTACCACTACACCACAGCGGTAGCCACTGTAAATAGGTTTTATTAATATAATTTTAGGCAATTCATTTGAAACATTAAAATTAAAAATATAAAATGCAGCTGGGATCGAAATTCATAAGAAATGAAAAATAAGAATAAAAGTTAATATAAATATACACTTTTTCTTTTTTTTTTCATGCGGTACATGCGTTCCTCAGAAAGCCGCATAAAAAAATCTGTATAAAAAAGTTCTTTACTTTCATACAAAAATAGGGGATGCGTTCCAGCAGTTCAAAAAACCGCATAAATTCAGATACTCCATGTAAAAATTCTTAAAAACAGGGTAAAAAATCCAGTGAGGCAATATTAAGCAAAACAAAACAATTTATTTCTTCACTTCAACACTTATTATTCCCTTTGAACTGGACATTAATGAAATAAATAAAATTTGTCTGTATTTTAATCAAAAACAACAAAAAATATCACAATAACTACTTGAATTTTTTAAGAATACAAAGACAAATTATTTATCAGAAGCATTGTCTCGCACACACTGAACAAAGGCAATAAAAACTGTCAAAAAAGCAAAATCGCTACAGCGAGAAAATTTTTTGAGAAACCACATAAATTCAAATCCGCATAAAAAGAGACCTAAGTATATATGTATGCTTTCACCAAGTTTCGGTGACTGAATAAAAACATTTCTCAAAAAGCTGGCTTTCCCGCTTCCTGCAAATTCTCATTTCCTGCCGCTAAATGGACTTCGAAAAGCCAGACTTGACGGGAAAAGAGTTAAATTGGCAGCCCTGGTTGCAACTCAGAGTTCTGAGACTTTTTTACTCTAAAATGAGTCCGAATGTTTATAGGGATATTAATAAATGTTTATGGTCTGATATTGTAATTGTATTTGCTTTATGGCTTATTGTCTAGAAATCTAAGAGTGCAACTGTAACGGTAACGGATTTTCCTGACAATGGGGGGTGCTCAGACATAATGAAATAATAAACGTAAAGTCACAGTTAATAGCATAGACCGGTGAGAAGAACGCCGCATACAGTACTGAGCAGAAACAATTGAAAGGTTGGGCAGAATTAATTGACGCCCCAGCAGCAGGTAAGTTATCTTGAGTAACTTCAAATACATGACACTAACAACAGCTAAAAATGTAGCCTTAGATAAGGGCCTACTTCTTCTGAAACAAAATAATTTCGCTGAGCTAAAGGTAAGTAGATTAGCACACCGATGGAAACAAAGCAAACTGTAACACCGAAAAGGCAAAATGCAACATCGAAAAAGCAAAATGCGTTTGTGAACGTAGAATAAATAAGTACTGTGTGCATATGTATGTATATGTTTAGTGTATTTTTACCTGTCTTATTGCTAGGAAAGAAACTCCCATGCGAATATAAATTTATGGACTAGTAGAAACGGCTGCAACGCTTAGTGGCATTTATCTGCCAAACTAACGGATTTTACAGACTTCCAATGTATTTTGGCGCCAATCTACTTATTAGCCCGGCTGGTTACTCGAATTCTACCTGCGCGGAAGTGGACAAACCGCACTTTGTTGTGATTTCGG